CCTTGTAGATGACCCTCACTCTGTCAAGGACCTTGGAATACTCATATCTAATGATCTAAGTGCCAGAGCCCATTGTAACAATATTGCCAAAAAGGCATTAAGAGTTGATAATCTAATCTTGCATAGCTTCTTCTCTGGTAATATTGTACTGCTAACCAGTGCATACAAAACATTTGCTAGACCAATTCTTGAATACAACTCATCTGTCTGGAACCCCCACTGCATATCAGACATTAATACAATTGAGCAAGTCGAGATATTCCACTCTTCTGCTTGCAACAGAATATCTTATGCCACCAGACTTGAAATTTTGGGCTTCGACAACTTAGAACCATGCCGCCTTCAGTCTGACCTAAGTGTAGTACATAAAATTATCTACTACAATGTCATGTCAATGACTACTTCAGCTTCAACCACAACAATACAGGAGCACACAATAGATACAACTCAAGGTAAACTGCTCCAAACTCAATTGCAGCAACAGCGTGGTCAATGCCTGGAATGCATTACCTGACTCTGTGGTTTCTTCCCCAAACCCCCAAAACTTTAACCTTAGACTGTCTACTATTGACCTCACCCCTTTCCTAAGAGGTCTGTAAGGGGGGTGCATAAGTGCACCAACTGTCCCTGTCCTAATGTTTCTTTTTATTCATACCCATTTCATGTATCCAAAATCATGTTAATACTTATATCTGTTATGTAATACATGTTTGACGAAATAAATATAAATATAAAATAAAATGGTTGTCCAATCTCTTCTTAAAAACTTCCAGTATTGGAGCATTCACAACTTCTGGAGGCAAGTTGTTACACCGATTGTTCAGTCAAATGGCAACACTTCCACATTTTCCTGGAGAAATACCAGAATGTGGGGTGCCACCACCGGAAGCCGGTCAGCTATTTTATTTTTGAAGGTACACGGGGAGTTTAATGACCTGAGACTAGATTGCAAATCCTCTTTAAGCATTACTTCTGAACCAACATAGATTAAATCTATACAATAATGCTATTTGAAGATATGAACTCTCTTCAAAATTAGCCCTCCTGAATTTCTGTCCCTAAACGAGGCCTGGCAGGGATCAAACAATAACTTTTTTCTGCAGCAGGAAGTTTCTCCGAAGTTTTGTCCGCCAGTTAACAATTACAGTATTTTATACGTTGCAGTTCCTAAGAAGCGATCAAAATCTCGCCACGGGCAGAGAAATTCTGCCGCAAACATCGCGATAAGTGAGATTCTAGCGCGCTAATTATCCGACTACAACTTCTACAGGCTTTATGGGAAGTCAACCGCTACCGGTTGATAAATCAAATATACCGACGTACACATTTTTGACTAATAGTGAAGTATTAGTTTTCTGCTAATAACGAAGTATCTGTTTTTATAAAATTTCCAGCTTAAATATGCAGGCGATCTCTGGAGGCAGCCATATTGTACGGGCCCGGCAACGGAACGCGTGAAAAGAAACCACTTCCGTTTCCGGAAGAAGCTGCTTCTTCCTTTCTCTCTGTAGGCCTGGGCGAGTTGGCAGGTCCGGGCGAGGGGCCTCCGCTGAATCCGACATCATCCTCCGTCCGCCGCGGGAGCTCGAGGTCTCTCAGCCGCCGCCATGACGGAGCAGATGACCCTGCGTGGTACCCTAAAGGGCCACAACGGCTGGGTGACCCAGATCGCCACCACCCCACAATTTCCAGACATGATCCTCTCCGCCTCACGCGGTAAGGTGGAGCAAGATGGGCCAGTCCACTAGGGGGGCAGAGAGGGCCCAAAAAATAGACTGGGAGAAACCATGACGGGGAAGAAGCCGTGAAAGATAGATTTTTTTTTTGCATGGGCAACATGGCTTGCACGACCTGCTGAATCGGGATTTTGGGGGGGAGGAAACTGCTCGCGTTTGGGTAGAGGCAATTTAGAGGAGAAACCATGGTGTCTTAAGAAGGGGGGGGTAGGAAGAGGATTACAACAACCCGAACAATAAGCGATTGTTGAGTTCAGAATGCGGGATGGTTGCAAATCTTAGGGAAGAGACGTCCGTCCCAATGATTACATCTGACATTGTCTGCTGATCTTTGCAATGAGATCTGAAGACACGTCCTGCAATTATGATGGGACAGGAGAGGATCAAGAAAGAAAATGGGCAGCGGCCCACAATTCAGGAAGATGTGGCTGTTAGCAATCTAAGGCTTGTGATTAGTGCAGGGAGGAAAGATTTTTGGGGCTTACAAGGCATTTTTTAAAGTTGGAATTCCAAGAGGTATGGGCAAAATCCGGGTGTGAAATGGTAAGCCTCCTGAGCATGTGCTTAGCCCTAGTAATTTGTAATCAAATGCAGAACTGAATCAAGGATTTCCATGGACAAATCTGTTCCAGGTGTCTCCCCCATCCTCCCCATTATATAGTAACTTTCTTAGTGGTTTGCTATAGAAAGCTTTATTTTCCAGTTCCAGCAATTATCAAACAACTGAGATCACAAGTGTTTACTGAGATCACTGTCTATTGTCCTGTCCTGGATTACAGGAAAACTCCAGTGAGTATTTCATATTAGGCAACTCCATTTTAGGGTAATTCATTTCTCACTTGAGAGCAACTGAAGTTATATCCTTGGAGGATTTACAATAAGTATGCCTCTCCTCCAACAAAGGAACCTCTTTGACACTAGGTTATAGCAGTGTTTCTCAGCCTTGATGGCTTGAAGATGTGTGTTCAACTCCCAGAATTCTCCAGACTGGGGAATGATGGGAATTGACCGATCCATACATTTTTGAAGTTGACATGGTTGAGAAATAAGTATTCATAACTCCCTTAAGCATCAAGCCTTGTTCAGTGACTTTGGGCCAGTCACTCTCCCAGCTAAACACCCCATAGGTTTGTTGTGGAGAAAATAAGTTGCTGGAGAATTAGATAGAATAGAGTAGCATTCTTTATTGGCCAAGTGTGATTGGATACACAAGCAATTTGTCTTTGGTGCATATGCTCTCACTGTACATAAAGAAAAATAAAACAATACATTCATCAAAAATCATAAGGTACAACACTTAGTGATGGGTTGCCACCTTACCTTATATATTTCAAAGAGCTGAATAAAAATATAGTAACAAGAGTTTAGACAGTTGCAAAATGGAAGTCCAAAAAACTGCTATTGAGGGTGTTTTTCTATGTTTTTATAATGCACAAGAGGAGGATGAAAAAGAGGACACTTTCACTGCAATGTAAGGAATGAGAGTTTCTTCTGCCCTGGATGTTAAGTTTTGCTGATTGAATAAGTAGGGATGTACAAAGACTTTCGAATATGAAAGTCCTTGATTAATTCATGTTGAAAATGAGATCAAGATAACTTCTATTTAGAAAATCCCTAAATGGTTAAAGTCACCCATTTTTAGTTGAAGATGCTTTAACTAGCCTTCTACCAGCAATGCATGGAAAAAGTCATTTCCTGATCAAGGGGAAATCTTAATCCACTAAAACTGCTGTACTTGAAGCATGGACTGTGGAGTCCCCATGGGCTTTGTTGCCACCCTGAGAATTAAGCTTGGGAACAGGATGGCATTCAGGACTCAGGATGCAGAAGGTTGTGGGCAGAGAATCCATTGTTTTGCTTTTGTGGGTAATTTTCCTGGTTCGAGATTTAATGTAAGTAACCTTTTGTGTCCTCTTACAGATAAGACCATCATCATGTGGAAGTTAACAAGAGACGAAACGAACTATGGGATTCCCCAGCGAGCCCTACGAGGCCACTCTCACTTTGTGAGTGATGTGGTCATCTCTTCAGATGGGCAGTTTGCCCTCTCCGGCTCTTGGGATGGCACCCTGCGCCTCTGGGATCTTACTACGTGAGTGCAAGTTGTAAATAAAAATGGCTTCCGTGTTTGGGGAGGGGACAATTTACTTTCTGTGAACTTCTTGTTTTCTATTTTCTGATTGCTTCCTGCACTCCCAGTGATTAAATCTGATAGTACATATCTAAAGACTCCACTCAGCTTCACTGATATATGTTGCCATTGTAGTAAGAGGAAAAATGATTTTGATTTGTTTTATATATGTTGCATAATTCAAGTTCTAAGTAGCCTGAAAAGCAATACTGTGACAATGTATTGATAATAAATTAAAACCCCTAGGGATGAGTTTGGCCTTCACTTAGCACAGTACTAGGGTTTGCTCTTTAACAGTGAAATGGTGAAAAACAGAAAGAAGTTTTGTCTATTAAGGGCTCCTCCTCTAGCACATTCCAGTGCAGGGAAATAAAAGTGTCAAATTGACTTCCTTTTAGAGGCACGACCACTCGTCGTTTTGTGGGCCATACCAAGGACGTACTGAGTGTGGCCTTCTCTTCCGACAACCGCCAGATCGTCTCAGGTTCCAGGGACAAAACCATCAAACTCTGGAACACCTTAGGTGTCTGCAAGTACACTGTGCAAGTAAGCCCCTTCTTCCAGTTCTTGGATTGGATGCTCTTAACGTTCAATTAATGTGAGTCTTTAAATTAGGTGACACTAAAGTTGGTCTCTAGATACATTTACTATTGGTTCACGACCACATCTGACCTGTAAAGCATCAAAAAAAATTAGCTGTTAATAGAAACAGGTCTATTCAATGCAGAATCAACCAAGTGAAGTCATATAACATTTCCTCAAAGGCTTCTCTGGGATATATCCTAGGGAGGAGAAATTTCGTTGGCATTTAAGTGGGGTGTTTTTTGAGAAGGAGGTGTGATGCTTTCAGTTAATTTTCAGTCATCTTTTAGTTAATATTTGTGTAGTGATATGTTTACTAGAATTTCATAGGTAAGGATGTGTTACCACTTGAGGAATGTATTCATTATAAATTTCTACCACACAGAAGGCAGGAATTGCAGGAGCAAATGTAATGGGAAGAGAATGTTGAAATACAATTAATTACTTGATAAGATGTACAGTTTAAAATAATGAAACAGGTGGAGTTAAAAATGATAGCTTTGTTAAGTTGCTAGTGAACTAGCCCCAAAGGATTGCTTTTCCATCCTGCTCTTTTTCTCTCTCCCATAGGACGAAAGCCACTCTGAGTGGGTGTCTTGTGTACGCTTCTCCCCCAACAGCAGCAACCCCATCATTGTTTCCTGTGGCTGGGACAAGTTGGTTAAGGTGAGGGGAATTTATGCTCGGGGATCTTCAGCCAGTGTTCCTTTTATTTGGGGCATCTCTTCCCCCCCCCCCCAACCCATGAAATCGTGAAAGTGAGACTCCTTGCAGATTTATAAACAATGTAGAATCTCTTCACTTCATCTGTTATATTTCAGAGGAGGGAGGCCGGAAACAAACAAAGGTGGGGGAGTACAATGATCTTCTAAATCTATCAGATCTGTTGAAGAGGTATAACAGATCCGTTGAAAAAAGTAAAAATTTAAAAATAATAGCATGTTCCATTATCCTCCAGGAGTAAATTTTTACAGATTCTTTTTTGTTAATCTTAAATAGATTTGAAACTTTTTGGGGTGCAATTTTCTTCACTTGAAAAGTTATCTTGGAAGGTGCTGGATTTTTTTTATTTTTTATTTTTGCACGAAGGCAAAACTAAGGCATCTCCAAAATACTTTGCCTACTGACAGTCATTTATATTATTTTATTTCTTAAATGCATAAATTTCTAAAATGCATATGCTACCCATTGCATTGTTGCAGCAACTCTGGGTGGCTTACAAAATATTAAAAGACAATGCAGAATGATTAAAATTAATAAAAGTTAAAAAATATACTGCGTGTCTGCTTTTCTTCATGCCCTGAAATTAGGAATTAACCTTCCTTATGTTTCCTCCGACTTGTAGGTCTGGAACTTGGCCAATTGCAAGCTGAAGACTAACCACATTGGGCACACTGGCTACCTGAACACAGTGACTGTCTCTCCTGATGGGTCATTGTGTGCTTCCGGTGGAAAGGTAAGTCAGTCTGGTGATTTAAAAGACCACCTTGTTTTCTCCTTTTTCTTCCAATTTTTAAAAATGGGAATTCTAGTGAAAATTGGTTAGACAGATAACTTTCTACAGAGACGAAGAATCTAGCTAAAACTTACAGCCTATCCCTGTTTGACTCAGGAAATGTAAGGAGAAAGTACTCCCAGTATTTTTAATTGCATCCTTGGAATAGATGTCTGCAGTTATTGGCTCAGAAGCTGAATTCCTAAAGAGAGGGATTTAGGTCTTCACTTGGGCCAATTTGTTTCCCTTCCCTAAACAAAGAAAGAGGAATCCTTACTCATGTAGCTCAGTCTGCCACCACATTTTAATTTTTGTGAATTTAGTATGATCATGTTCTTAGAATGAGCAGTGAGAACCCACCTCCTAGCTAAGAATAGGGAGGGATTAAAACCAGTGTCTTAGGTTCTTCCTTGATGATTTTCCTAGAAAGGGATATTTGGGATATAAGCTCCCTTAAGGGGGAAGGCTGGACATTAGTGGCTTGCAAAGTCTCTGTGACATTTTTCATCCTGTTTTCTTGGCGGTTGAGGGTTAAAGGAAATCTGGCTCAGCTGTGATGAAACACACGAGCGCCATCTGACTCCCATGCAGATAACCCACACTCTGTTTCTGAGCTGCCCAAATTCCCTCTTAGCGTCAGGGGGAATTTCTCAAGGGGCGTTGTATTATGAAGGGGGATTATATGATGTATGGAGAACAGCTTTATTTCTGAAGTTGCGTTTTGAATCTTTGAATAGATGATGTGATTGTTAAATTTTAGAGAAAGTTTGCAACTTTATAAAGAAGGAAGAACGACGATTGGTTGAAGTGAGCTCTATCTATTGACGTCTTTCTCCATTCTAGGATGGGCAGGCAATGCTGTGGGACTTGAATGAAGGCAAGCACCTTTACACATTGGATGGTGGGGACATCATCAATGCCTTATGCTTCAGCCCAAACCGCTACTGGCTGTGTGCTGCCACTGGTCCCAGCATCAAGATATGGGTATGTTGAAACAGCCAATAATCTGTGCAAGTAATAAATATGACTCAGAAGGCCCCCCCCAAAAATCCACTCCCTTTGGAGTTTTAATTCTACATTAATAGAAGATTTTTCCTTCTGGAACACTTAGTGTCATATTCAGAGAGGTATTTATGTCTGTCTCTGATGTCTGTAGACTTTTGTTTGTTATACCAGTCCCAAGAGTGGTGTAAATTTCATCCCGGGCATAGAGATTGGACACATAGTGTAAACCCAATCTTGGCACCTTTTAAGACTTGTAGACTTCCAACTCCCAGAATTCCTCAGCCAGCTTTGCTTTGAATTCTGGGAGTTGAAGTCCCCAACTCTTAAAGTTGCCAAGGGTAGAGACCCCTGGTGTAAACAATGAGAGAAGAATGGGAAGGAAGGATCATCCGAGGACATGGGCATATCAGAATAGATATTAATTTTTGTTTTGCTGATAGGGAAAACCATCTCTTGAGTTATCATTGTATGCTTTTGAGCTATTGTTGTAACTATGTTGTCTGTTCAGTAGCTTACGGGCAAGGAGTTAAATTTTTGCTGTGATGAAACACCTAATGCCATCTGACATTACTTCCCATGTGGAAAACCAGAGGCTGTTTCTGAGCCCATTGCTCTCAGTAGAGTTAGGAATTGAGGAAACCCAAGGTTACCGCTCTTTGATCTCTATCTCCATTCTTATTTTCTCACAGGATCTGGAAGGTAAAATCATTGTGGATGAGCTCAAACAGGAAGTGATCACCACCAGCAGCAAGGCAGAACCCCCTCAGTGCACCTCATTGGCCTGGTCCGCTGATGGGCAGGTAAGAGATAAGATTCCCAGCGGCCTCTGGGAGAATCATGTAATTGCCTTCTCCACTAGGTGAGGCTTGACCAACAGTTGGACTTTTGAGTTGGAAACTTGTAAGGATTTTGCAGCACGGGTTCTTTTTAAAAGGGAATCATTTAAGGGACGTTGTATGTTGGGGGTAAAAAAACCCATATGCTTGGTCTCTGCGTTCCTAAATCATTGGTATGTTTTCTATGATTCGTTTTTGTATACTACATTAAGTAAATAAAATCACTAAGTTATTAAGCAAGGATTGAAATCATGAGCATGCTTACATTGTATGCAAAACCCAGGAAGATGAGAGAGCATTTGAGCTAGCAGCCATTCAAAGTGCTTTAGTTAGAATGTCTTGTCTTAACTGGGGGAGTTGCGAATGTTGGGAGTAACTCGGAGCACTAACAGCTTGCAGATGTTGATGTAGACGGTGGGGATAGATGGTTCCTTTATGATTTGTGGACTTCAACTCCCAGAATTCCTGAGCCAGCAAGTCCACAAGCATTGCTGGCTCAGGAATTCTGAGAGTTGAAGTCCACAAGTTATAAAAGGGCCATCAGTCCCCACCCCTGAGGTAGACAATGAGCAGTTTTAGTGTTTCTTCCCTTAGTTTTGGGTGTGTTTTAAGAGCTGAGTGGTGGAGCTAGATCTCAAGAAACAGCCAGGATATTTATTGTAGGTTGCCAACCCCACAGGAGAGTTTAGCACACAGGATGCAGATTACAGGTTGTGTTTGTTTTTATTCTCACTTTCAGCTCCTTTTAAGAAAGAGGAAGAATTGCACTTTTATCTCCCCCCCCCCCAAAAAAAAATATTTCCTTCAAACTGAAGCAGGTCACTTCTGTCAGGCTTAAATAATGTGTCCTAGTGTATTCTCTGACTCATTTTGCTGGGTTTAGCACAAGCAGTTGATATGCAACATCTGCATTTAGGATGTGTGAAAAGGGATTGAATGTTGCTGTGTACCACAGGAATGCTAAATCAGCCTTTCATTTCATCCTTTAGCCTTCTCCCTTATCCTATGTTAACATTGTTTTTTTCTCTTTCCCTCTTCTTTCAGACTCTATTTGCTGGCTACACAGATAACCTGGTTCGTGTCTGGCAGGTCACTATTGGGACCAGATGAGAGCATGCAGTTGTTGACCCACAAGGCATAAACTATGTACAAATCATTCAATTAAAAACAAACAAGGATTTTTGTGTTGGAAGTGACGTGCTTTTAATAGGGAACTTAACAGCCAAAATTTATTTTCTTTTTCCCTGCAGAGGTAGTTTTTTGGCTAATCCTTACTGTATTTTGGAAGATCTGAAGGATCAGTAGGGACAGATCATCAAGGAGGAAATTTATGTCTTCCCCAAAAGTTAATACTGACTTGATGGCACATAATCACTGTATTAACGTCTGCTTGAATAAGGCTTTGTATTTACTATTGCAGTTGTCCTGAAAGGCGTGAATGGTAAAACTAGATCTGCAACACAAAGATCTGCCCACTTTTTATATGTGTTTGGTTTCTCACACACATACAAAAAAGTGACTCTTATTTCAAGATAATCATTTGGCCATTTTATGAAAGTGTTGAGATTCTATACACACCTTTATTCACCACTGTTGTTATCCCTTCAGTTGGTCCTCACAACATCCCTTTTTTTATTAAACGAATGTGAATTCCTCTCATTCACATTCAGCAAAAGCCTGGTAAACAGTCTTTCAAAGGTGAATTTATAACCACCGATCTTATCTATCTTGGAAAGCTGCTGTGTAAATATTTTCCAAACAGTGCTGTGCAAGGAAAGACTTGGCACAGAGTCTCTGAGATTCACGCACAGATCTTTACACTCCTGAAATGAGTGAAAAAATGAATTGTTTTCTGCAAAAGGCCACTCCCCTTTTGCTCCTTTTTTACTTCCTATGGGAGGGGCCATTCACTGTCCACCTGTGGCTTTATTCCCAAGTCGACCCTGATTTCTTAGTTGTTCTTTTCTTCTGGCAACTCTGCACATGTGCACACTGGGAACAGGCTCTAGCCATTCCTCTGCCCCACTGCTGTCTAACTCCAAAGGCAGCTGAGAACTACCAGACAGCTTTGGCCCCATCTCTGCCTATGACACAGAGCCCTCATCAGAGCCTTCCCCAGCCTCCAGGATTGGCCCATGTTCCTCCCCAACCTCCTCACTGTCCGACTGCTGGCGGGCCACAACAAGTAGATGAAATCTAGTTAACCTTGGGTAATCATAAAATTAGGGTTGGTACTGGCTAAATACCAGGATGATACAATGTGAGCTGGAATATGAAGTTGAAAAAAATGCAGAAGGCAGCAGTAGCAAATTTTGTCTATTAAACAAGAAAATTGTGACTGACTGTAAAGGAATCAGGGTCGACTTGGGAATAAAGCCACAGGTGGACAGTGAATGGCCCCTCCCATAGGAAGTAAAAAAGGAGCAAAAGGGGAGTGGCCTTTTGCAGAAAACAATTCATTTTTTCACTCATTTCAGGAGTGTAAAGATCTGTGCG